CCTAGGTTCCAGAACCCTCTTATTTTCCTTACTAGGCTTGACATACCATCCTTCTTCCATGTCCCTAGAAGCAGGGCTGGTGGCAGCGTAATTAAGGATGAGATAGGTGGCACAGACCTGAGTGCAAATCCAGGCTCCATGTAGCCCTTAACAAGGGTCAGTTTCCTCATCTGCACAGTGGGATCATAAACACACCTATGCCACAATGTTGTCCAAGAAGAAGACAGGCAAAGAGGTATGTGCAAAACAGGCATGTGCAAAAAATGAAAAAATGGCAGGAGTTCCAGTGGTAACAAGAACCAAGGAGCAGCAAGATGAGCTGACATCATGGGAGTTTTCTGTCTCTTCAATGGCATCTTTCTCTTTTTTTCCCCCCCCCGACGTGTCTCTCAGAGAAGTAAAATGATGCTGCTCTTGCCTTAAGACCCTGTCAGATTTTGTAATATAATTTTCATAGTAAGAAACAAAGTTAGAATTATAACTCAGTTGTAGTTTCTAGACACACACATTTTAAAGCTAATTTCATCTGTGTCATCTTTAAGCCAATACACCTTCATGATAAATCTAGAACAATCTTTCCTTGAGTTTTTAATAGAGACAATGCTAGAAATGCCTTGTTAGTCATCTCCCATATATGTCAGATCACGACTCACACACTTTGGTCAAAACTGCTTACAAAATGGGAAGTGAGTCAACCAGCATCAATTATTGACCTTATCTCAGTTCTGGGGTTGAGGGAGAGGGAAGAGAGGAGATTTTGTGAAACAGCCAGTCTTTCTTTTTCCATGCCCTAATGGGGGATAGAGACCAGCATTAATAACTTCAGAGAGCCTCCCTGGTGGCTCAAGGGGTTGAGACACAGCACTATGAAGCTATGGGTAGCCACTGTAGCACGAATTCCATCCCTGGCCATAGAGCTAACCCACATGGTGCAGCAGACCTCTCCTGTCTTGCCTGCTGCTCCCCTCAGCTGTGTATTTCAGTCAATCTGCCTGTTCTGCTCCCCACTCTGTTTCTGGTGATCCTCTCACCCCCCACACCTCTGTCCTGTACCCCAGTTCTTCCATGCATAAATAAATAAATCTTTAAAAAAAATACCTCCAGAGAGATGTTTCTCAAAGAGTGCTCCAGAAGCACAAATGTTCACCGAGAGGGAGTCCCATGGTGACATAAGATTGAGAAACAAGGGTTAAATGTCAAATGAATTGCTTTATTTGAAGATTTTTGAGACATTTTAATAAGCTAACATTCAATGCGACTCCAGAGTGGAAACTTATGTGGGATGGCTTATGAGGTACCTCAAATTTGACCTTGGCCTCTTAATGGAAGGGGCATCTTGTAAGACTGGGGCTTCATGGAACCCTCCTTGGGAAATGTTACCTTAATGTAAGGCAGACTGTACTGGGTGGCACGTGCCTCTTTCTCTAGCAGCAGAGACCCTAGGGATGCAGAATAATTTCAACACAGACTTTATTAAGAGAATTTGTACTAAATTAGAAAAGCTTATTAAATGAAGGCATGCATTCTAAGTCTCTACACTAATTTTAGTATCTGGCAGAAAAGTGACCTGGAAATACATACCAGATCTCAGGACCACATGTGGCTCCGATTTCCCTCTATCTGAAGATGGCAGATATTGATTACTGAACAACTTTCAAGGTTCTTTCTGCCTTTTTATACTTTTTTACACCATTCCTATTCTTTGCCTTGGCTCTTCTTGCTGCTTTTTTTTTGCTGTTGTTAAGCAAGAAGTAGGATGCAGTTAGACCAAGAGGTAGGGCAGAAAGCCTGCCCAGCCAGGAGTGGGCAAAGCTGGATGCTCTGTAAAGGTCCAGGTCCAGACAGTGGAGGGGAGCCCCTGGGAGAGGTGGGGTGGGTTGTCCCTGAGAACAGAGCCACAAGTAGGGAACCCTGCGATGAGATCCACCAAGAATAGATGAGGGTGAGGCAGGCGGTAGGGTGGGGGCTTCTTGAGTGAGTCCCTAGGACCATGCTTCCTTGAATAAGTTTATCTACTTCTTTAAAACTTGTGTGCTGAGGTCAATCTAAGTAAGTGACAGAACAACTCTGGTTGTAGAGTTGGGAGAAGGATACTCTGGAGTGTCACCTGCTGAGGCGTTTCTCTGACATCCTAGTGACTCCCAAGGGCTGGAGCCTTGCACCCTCAGCAGCCTTCCTGGCCCCTTCTATGTAGTACCTGGGCAGTTGGGTCCAGTTTAGTAGTCCAGGAGCAGAACAGATGTGAATACAGTTTTCATTGTTTATGAGTATAACATGAAATTTTGCTGTGAGAGATGAGATGAGGAGGAAAACTAAGGAAAAGGACAAATTAACTAGTCTTTTAAATGTCTCTTAAATGTTGTGTCCCAGAGAGAGACCTAGTATTTGTGTAAGGGCAGCAGTTTTTGAGTCAGTCTGAGCTTGGTCAGACTGCGAGAACTTGGTCTAATTCTATGCTGAGAACAGAAGGTGGTGTGCTTTGGCCACACGAGGAAGGAGGGCATTTTTGTGATGCGAGGTTCATTTTGAGTGCAAGAGTCTTTCTCTAAAATTAAGATCGCTACATGCTCAAGGCTATACTGGCAACATTTCTTAAGTATAAATGAAGTCTCAATTTTTTTTAATTACTGGAAAAAATACCAATGAAAATGAGGTTTCACTGATTGCTTTGGCTTTCAATTCACTAACAGGACACAGTAGGCTAATTGGGGCTGCAGAGCAGTGCCTGGTAACTGGGCTGAAGCCAGTTCCCAGGAGGACCCAACAGGCAGCTGCTATCAAATAATTTTCTATTCCCATTATTAAACCTGACTGGAAATTTCACAAATATGAACTAATTCCCATGTCAAGCAAAACAAACAAACAAACAAACAAAAACAAAAACAAAAAAAAACCACCTAAAAACTTCACAATTGCAGGCCTAAAGGTAATTAGAGGTTTACACTGCAGGTCTGTAATAGCATAGAAGTGGACTTCCAAAGGTTTAGAAACATTCCAAGACGAGGGCTGGATCACAGACCACTAATTTTGCAGCACTGTATCTTATTGAAAGATATTTTGATGTGTCCTTCCAAGACAAAAAAAAAAAAAAAATGTGACTCCAAGTAGGAAGTAAGTATTCCTGGGAATCCAAGCTCCTTGAGAACAATATGGCAGTAGGGCATCTTATGAACTCAGCTCCTTTCCCAGCCTCTACTCCACTCATTCTGGTCTGTGTATATTCTGGTGATAGGGAACCCTGACATGCAGGATATGAGCATGAGTGTGTCAAACTCCCCTGCCATGACACATATTGCTAACTTCCTTATCTTCCTAGGGAACTCTTACTCATCCTAGAAACCCAACTTGAAAGATGTTAAAGGATTTTTCTCTTGTGCTGAAAATCTACCATCAAATTTACTGCCTTCTGTTCAAGGAATATACCCAAATCTTCTACACACCTTTCCCAAAGTATGCACGTTCAAGTTCCTGCCTACACCACAAGCCCTATCTCCTAGTAATTGCCTTTTTTTTTTTTTTTTTTTTTTTTTTTTTTTTTTTTTATAGATGTTTTATTTATTTATTTTGTTTGTTTGTTTGTTTTGTTTATACATGCACTGGGTACAGTCAGAAGCACGGGAGGGTGAGAGAATTCACCAGAGCCAGAGCGGGGAGCAGAGCAGGCAGAAGGACCGAAGTACACTGCTGAGGGGAGCAGCGGGTGGCAGGAGAGGTCTGCGCACCATGTGGGATCCTCCGCCGGTGGCCGGGGAGCAGCCGGGGATCGAACCGGCGCCGCAGAGGCCGCGGGCAGCTTCGCAACCCAGCGCTCAACCGCTGCGCCACCGGGGAGGCCCCAGTAATTGCCTTTTGATAACTATTCTCCAGCCTCACTGAGCTTCTTGTGACTTCCAGATGGATCGGGTAGGAGGATTTGTGTGGGAAGGTTAGTCTTGGGGAAGGAGATGAAAATCAGTGCGTGCAAGGAGCTAAGCGGAGGATGGAATCACAGAAGCCAGCACATAGTAGCAAGGTCTTAGAGACCATCTGCCATGTTGGGTTTAGGTACCTAGGGAAGGAGCAGATGTTTTCAAATGTACTTATTCACTCTACTGAAACATGCCAAAGACACCCCCTGTGCCCAGCACCTAACCCTTACAACAACCCTGTGAGATAGGTGTCACTCTAGTTTTATAGATAGTAGGTGATAAGAGAAATAGGGATTCTGCCAAGCCCTCATGGGCAGTATATGACAGGGCTGGAATTTGACTCAAATTCAAAATTTTTTGACTCCAAAGTCTAAACTCTTTTTCCTGGTTCTGGAGGGTCACTTAAGGGATTATATAGCAAAAGATTAGCAAAGACTATACAGATTTCTATGAAGTTTGGGTTCTAGAGTTGCAAGTATCTCAGAAGATAAAGGGTTTATAGCATTTCTCTCATTGTATATTGGCTCTGTTCAGAGCTGTCCTTCAGTGGACTTCCATTGTGCCTATGGACCATCCACCTGCCCCAACCATATGTGCAAAGTCCCACATACTGCACGTTTTTTAATACCTTGAGCAGAGCATTGGGGGCTGGGCAAGTCTGGGTAACTTGTGTGAGGAGAAAGGAGATCCTTGGTTCATGACCAGCATAGCACTCATCGGAGCCAACTGGCAATATCGGGGCAAGAGTCCACAGGCTCTTCACTACACACAGCCCCCATTTGAAACTGAATGAAGTTCCAGAACAACAAAAGCCACTAGTAACTCAGAGGCAGCTATGAAACTGCTTATATTGATCTAAAATCAAAATCTGGTGTCAAGCTAAGCACTTTATTATTACATAAACTTAGTGTCTGAATTAACTCTTCTTTTTATAAGCCCTGTCTTATTAGTAAGGGATAGTAAGTTTCCCTGGTTAATTCTCCTACCACCTGCTTTTCCAGTTTCTCTATCAGTAACTTTCATGGACTGAACACAGATTGACCAAGGGGTGGGTGTTGGGGGTGGGGTGGGAAGGTCTTGACTTAGGGTTACCTTGCCAACAGGCGCCGACCGTGAGTTGCATGTCTATGTGGGATGGATGAATGGGCCAATCGTTGGTCACCAGGTATGGTTCATACGTTGCTCCATCCATGTATAAAGAAACCACAGGAAACTCCACATTGATGACATAGTAATGCCACTCTTTGTCACAAATCTAGTAAAAAAGGGAGAAGCAACACTTAAAATTGTATATTCAATGAAACATCAAAGAGATTTTCATTCTAATTATGAAAGGGGAAGAAGACATTTTTGTATCAATAATTTTGCTGCTTAGACTCAATGAGCATAATGGTTACTATGAACTGAAGTTATAGAAGAAGCTCATTTTGAACATTATAGAGCAAAACCTGGGGGAGAGGACCACCTAAGAATACAATCATCAAGCAAGCATTTGATTCAGGGCAGATTATCTTGTTCACATAATTACCAACTCTCTAAGCTAGCAAGTTCTTTGTGGATAGGTGGGAGTGTCTGCTTGAATTTGCTTTGTATGAACATGTTCTTAGTTCTTTAGTAGAAATAAAGTTGAATTACTTTTCTAAGCTTGGGAATAGATGGAGCTATACAAAGGAAAATGCTAGATTGAAAGTCAGAATGAAGAGGAAGATAGAGAAGGCCAGAAGGAAGAGAAAGAGAAGAAAATGGAAGAGGAGTGAGTTAGGAGCAAAGTAGTGCATAGAAGGGAATGAACAGAAAGATGAAGAAGGATGAGATGTAGAATTGGGGACCCTCAATTCCTTTGTCTCTATTTGAAGAGTTTCTGGAGGCGCTGTCATAATCCCACGTCCCGCCTTAAACTCAAACAAAATAGGTTCTGAGAGAGAGTCTTTCCAAGAGGACTGAGCTTTGATCTATATCAGAGTACTTGGGTGTTGGGGGAAGCAGGGGAAGAGAAGGACCACAGAGGGGTCTTACTGGCCTAGGCTCAAAGCAGAGCACTCTGCCTTGTTTCCCTTCACTCTTAAAAAATTACATAATTAAAAAACCTGTATATTCTTAAGGTATACAATGTGAGGATTTGACAAACATAGTGAAATGTTCAGTCAAACTAATTGACATATCTCTTTACAGTTGCCATTTTGTGTATATGTGATGAGAACAACCGAAGTCTACCCTTTCAACACCTTTCCAGTTTCAACACAATATTATGAAGTATAGTCATCATGCCCATACATTACGCTGCTAGACTTATTCATCTTATTCAACCCAACAACCATTTCTAGCTAAGATTCCCGGTCTTAAGACTGAGATCCCAAACCTAAACTTTATGGCAGGTAGAGATGTTGGGAGCTAGAATGGAATAATAAATTGTTGACTGTAAGGGACTGAGCTCTCACAGCATGATCCAAAGCAGAAACCAAGACTGGTGTGTCTTGGGAAGGCTGATAGGAAGTATAAAAGGTATCAGGATGGAGGGCAGTGTGCCCTCCCTCTGAGTGCCTTGGGATTCACATTAGGCACTTTTCTTTTCTGCACTCTCTCTCTCTCTAATCCCCCATGCACCCTGTGGAGGCCACCTCTGAATCTCTCTCAACTACATCCTCTGGCTTCCATCACCCCTGCCATCCATGACAGTGGAGACGGATGAGTTCTGCATGAAGGTGACTGCAAGGTGAGGACATCAAAGCCCTCCCTACATCCCACTTTGGATTAAATGTGCTGTTTCTCATGAATAGATAACACCAACAGGGATGCTAAATGACCGTTTCCCTTTCATTTTGGAATAAGAATTTTTTCCTTAATGTTCTTTTTATACTGTCCTGTCTCATGTCTCAGAAAATTGCTCCTTTTGAAACCCATTAGTGTGATAAAGTCTGATGAATATTTTAGGGGCTCTTGGAAAGTAAGCAGGAGGGGTCCAGGCAGATGTCTCCAAAATCTTGTTATACACCACTGAGTGTACAGCTCAGTGACTGTTACACCTTTCTAGAGCTCCTAACCTGGTTTATACTCCCTTCTTGCTCCATACCTGAGATCAGACGTGGGCTGGGCACAGTGTTCTTGGACTGAACCTGTGATTAGGGTGGGGCTAACATAGAGGCTGGGGGAGGGAACAAAGGAAGAACTGAAGACAGAGTTTAGGGGTGATAGAAGAGTGGGGAGCTAAGGAGAGTACTTGAATAAGGAAGCACCCAATCCAAGAATGTCTAGTGTCTTGAAGTTTGTAACCAGGGAAAGCCAGGCAGCATATTCCAAGACCCTGAATATAGTTTACATCCGGGGCATGGTCCCTGAGGCATTGGAAAACCTCTAGCCAGGCCCAGGGTGGGAAGGGAGCAGGTGATGGTACAGTGTTCATGACCACAATCCACATTTCCCTGTGAAATGTGGACAGAGCAAGAGAGTCAACTTGGGGGTTCCCCATCATGGCTACCATCTAGTGCCATTGGGGTGGCTGCCATGTGCATCCATGTGCAGCCCCCAAGTCTGCCCGTACTAGATGGAGAGTGCTCCTCTATCTAACTTCCTTTCACATTTGCAGCATTTTGTAGGACATTCACAATAAATTCTAAAGGAGAAGAAAATAAAATAAAATTCCATACCTCGACAGCAGCAGCAATCTTTCTCAATATTGGTATCTTTTCTAGGTATTTGCCCCAGTTTTTCTAAAGTGTGTCCCATGAACTGTAGCCCCAGCATGCTCCCCATAGAAACAGGGACCCTGTACACCCAGCCTCAATTTTTTTTTTATTTTCCATTTCATTAGCATATCCAAGGCTCTCAGCAGCCTCAAAGTATGTGCCTGTGATGACTATCCAAGCTTGCTGGAAAATGGAACTTTTCTATTTATAGCATTCCTATAAATATCTTGTGAAACAACAGTTGGGAAAGGTCAGTGTGGATCACACAGTGCATACAATTTGAATGTTAGTGGTTTAGCTTAACATCAGCATTAAAATGCCTTTGCCAACTTCATTTTAGAAGTCTATATAAAGTGAATTTGCTACAATATACTTAAATATCCCTTTACTACAGGTGTTATATACCAGCAAATATAAATGATATTATAATGAATTTCTTTGTTCATAAATATTTTCCCCATTTCTGGTTATGTCCTTGGGAAAGATTACTGGAATTGGAATTACTAGATAAAGGCTGAGGTATTTTGCTGGCTCTTGACATCCATTGTGAATTTTTTTTACTATAAAAGATTGTCCCTATTTCTACTCCTGCACACAGAGTGTGAGTGTTTGTGCATTGTGTCCTTATTATATTTGGTGTTTGAAAAAATTGAAATTCTGGATATTTGATACCTTTTATCTCATTTTAATATTGGTCACAAAAGAAGGCAGGATTTATATTCTTTCAGGTCAAATGAAGGGCATTCTGGAAGTGGGGAGCAGCCTGAGCTGAAACTCAGAGGTAGGAACAATTGGGAGCTTCCCCAGTGAGTTCCTAATTGGGTATCTAAACAGGTTTTTAGCTCAGACCACATTTATGCCTGCAGACTTCTCATACCAAGTAATCTATGAAGACAGCTAAATGCCTAATTAGGGCTTCATAAATGTGGATCTATGATCAAGAAGAGACCTGTATTAACCCTCTGTTAGAACTTCAGGGACAAACTGTAACTGAAAAATGATCAAGCCAGGAGGCAGCAAAATAAATGTGTCAAACACGAAAGAAGGAAATTAGGCAAAGTGACCTTTCCTGGGGGAGAGAAGAACTTTAATTCCTGAATTTCCATGAATCACTGGTGAATGCAGCTGGCAACAAGCACTTCAGATGCCATCCCCAGAGACACTGCCCAAGGCCTCATCTGGACCAAAGACACTTTGCTCTCTGAAAACCACAAGTGTGTTTCCAAGTGGGCAGCTGCACTGATAAATGAGTCAAAGACCAGCCCCAAGGACAAATGATAAGGAAAATTAAGCTGCAAGGACAATGCTAAAAGAGGTCTGAATTGGGAGTGGGCTGGTACTCCAGGATGAGTCAGGGCCAAGGAAGTCCCCACAAGAGAAGATCAAGTTGTAAAAGTGTTGAAGTGGCAACTAAACTTCCCATTGGAAGTTAGGAGTTGATGTTCCCAGTCAATTAGGATTGTTGAATGCAGCTATTCCAAGAGATACACTTGCTGACCAACGACCATGTGCTAGGGAATATGTTGGGAGCTGTCCACGATGCAGTGCTGATCAGATATGTGCTTTGCCTTCAAGATTTTCAATCTGATGGGGGGTGGGGGAGAGTTATTAACTGCACAATGGAGTCAAATGTTAGAGGAATTGAGATAAGTGTTATGGACCAGGTGCAGAGCACTGTGAGACAAGAATTCTGGCTAGAAGAGGTGATATTTAGGCAAAGAAAAAATTCTAGGCAAATGGGACAGAAACATCATATTTATTCATTTATCTTTTTTTAATCATTAAAGGTTTTATGGTTGAGACATAGGAGGATTACTCATTCATTCATTCACTCCTATAGACATATACTAAATACACTCCCTGCTCTGTGAATGAAAGAATGCACCTGCCGAATCTTGAAGGAGGGCAGAGCAACATGGCGGCGAGGAGACGCTGCGAGTAAGATCCCCCATTAAAAAAAGTTAATAGGGAGGAAAAGCGGCAGGTCCCACAGAGGCGGCACTCTCCGACCAACAGAGAGGAGGAAAACAACAAACTAAAATGACCAACAAGAACAAACTACGCAGCAAGCGGGACTGTGAGTGGAAAGGAACTATTGCAGTCACCACACCCCGTGAACGGGAGCTGTGGAGAATTCTGCAGGATTCGCCGCAGCGGTGAGCTCCAGGCGCCATTAAAGAGAGACCCCGCCCCCGGGGAGGAGGCCAGCACCAGCACACAGCCCCGGGGCCGCCCGGTAAGCTTGCACGGAAAAGCGGTGTGCTGGAAAAGCAAACGCGGATCAGGATCGGGATTGCGGATCGGAAACGGGATCGCGAGGAAAAGCAGTGCGGTTGAAAAAGCAGTGCGGTTGGAAAGCAAACGCGGATCCGGATCAGATCGCAGCTGCCCAGGTCCCCGCGCCTGCGACCTAGGCTTGCGGGGAGACGCGCGGAGGTCCTCACGGACGTGAAGGTCCCTCCCTGAGTGAGCAGGAACCAGGCGCCCAGGCACGGGAGCGGGATTCAAAAGGCGCCATTCCCGCGCCACTGAACTGGGCTACAGCCCGCGTCCTGGAACTGAGGGCTTTGGA